AATTCTAAAGTGAATTCTATTGATATTTGTCTGCGTGGCCAACGGTTTATTTTTTATTTAATTTTAATTAATTTTTTTTCCAACCGACAACTTTACCAGAAGTCTTAATCATAAACTGTATCGGTGGGATGCTGAAGGGTAAAAAAAGGATTAAATTACGGCTTTATAACCCTAAGGTCGTGAAAGGAGCTAGTTTTAAGCAGATTAACCGAAGCATGACTAGCCTTTATCCCAACCCTTTTGTGCCACATTTTCAAACATAATCCTTTGTAAATACATTTAGCCGTGTTTATAACAAAAACAACTGTGTATTTTGTCCAATTCTGGAATCAATCGACTGTAAAGATAATAAGTGTCATCTGCCGGAAACAAAATTGTCACTTTGGTCAAAAGTTCATCTTTTAGTTGAAAAGGCAGAACCATTTTACGTTTGAAAGGCGAAAAGAAAGCATTTTTTTTTTAAGATTAAAGGGTAGAGTTGAAATGATTGACAGGGATGCGACAAGAAAATGGAATAAGAAGGGAAATAAACAGTGAGGCGGAATATGTAGCTATGAGAAACGTCAAAGAAATTGGTACGGAAACTTTCTTGTAAACAGGATGGCTTTAGAAGTTTTGGTAGACATTATAGGCGTGTTTTTAAACAAATTTACAATAGGTACCACTACTGGCTCGCTAAAAATTAGCATACATTGATGAAAAAATGTCCCAAACTTAATAAAAACAAAGTTTTATCGACAAAATATTTATGTTATTATTAAGAGGAAAGACTAAAGGATTTTTTTATTATTAAATTATATTTTTGATCCTTTTTAGAACGTTTGAAATTTTGGTTAAAATTTTTTTTTTGCTTTGGAGCGGTGACCAAAGATTAGTATAGGAAATTTTAGCGTCTTTTTTGCACTGAAAAAAAAATGATTTGGAAATTCTTGCAAAAATCAAATAATCGTCGGATTTTAATAAAACTTTCAGAACTTATTCACAAATGAATTATATTATTTTAGAAAAGCTTTTTAGAAAAGGTTCTTTTTAGAAAAGCTTCGTGAAAAAGATTTGTTAGCCCCAATTAGTTTTATGAAATTTCAAGAAATTAAATTTTGTATCACTTAATGTTTATATTAGTTAAAAGAAAAACTCCTTGGAGAATTTATATCACGAGCGTTGGATAAATTGTCGTCTAAATTACGCAAAAATGAAAATAACATTGACATCTCATTTTAACAGATATATTTACCAAAATTACACAAATATATTTTAGAATAATATAGAGTAAATTTATTTAACAAAATCGCTATTCCCTTCAACCACGGCCTCCAGACGACTTTGGAATCTCCTGCATCTCTTCTGAATGGTTTCCTTGTTTAATTTGGTGAATACTGCCATAATCCTTGCCTTCAGTTCATCTTTTACAAGGAGTTTTGTTGGTCTCTCGCCCAACTGCGCTCTACACATAATATTCACTGAGTCTAGGAGTTAGGTGGCCAGATGTCAAGGGTGATGTGGTCACAGAAATTGTCTGACACCCATGACTGGGTTCTCCTGCTTGTGTTGCATAGTGCAGAGTCCCGCTGCCAGACATAGGATCTTCCTGTAGCCGCCCTCTTGACACAAGGCATATTCTCAGCATTGAAAATTCTGGCTGCCGTTTGATCTGGGTTCTCATTTGCACGGGACTTTCTTTTCCTCGCTGCAGCCTTGGCTCTTTTGATTGCAATCTGGTCCTCTGTTGGTAGAGATTTCTTTTTGGCAAAGCATACTGCTGCTGTATGCGATAGGTAACAATAAACTACAGAAGAACTCAAAATTGATCACTGCATTTAAGTACTGCATTAATATTTAAGCTTAGCTTTTAAAAGTTCAACGATAATTCTTCTGTCACCACTGAATTTAAAGACAATTTAATGTACGTAGGTCCTTATTTTCCGTGCAAACAATTATTTTTTTTTATTTTCTAGGTGATTTTCGTTGGATTTCGCAATTGATTTCATTTATTCCCAAATTTATTTCCAATTTATAAAAATTGTTATCATACAAAATAATTCGTCGCAGAAAATCAAGTAAAAAAAATCGCCGAAAACAATCGCATTAATGAAAGCTCTGGAATCCAGAATTTCTGTAACATAGTTGTGTCCCTTTAATTGAAAAAGTGTGACACAGTGACACACTGACAGTAGTATTTATTATATAGATATATAGTAAGAATAAAAGCTAAAGCTTAAAATAAACCAAAAGCTTAAAATGTATCAAATAAACCCAGAGCTCAATGCCAAATTTCCGCCTGATGATTGGTGTTACATTTTTATACTATTGAATTGATAATATTGTTATATTACACACACACACACACACACACACACACACACACACACACACACACACACACACACACACACATATATATATATATATATATTTAAACAATTTCTGTTCGGACTATTATATTTTTGAAACATTTTTTTTTTGTTTGTTGAAGGTGTAAAGGAATTTGATGGTAATTTTTAAGGATCCGAGCTTTCGACTGGCTCCAGTTAATATCAAGAAAGAAATTAGATGACATTCAAAGTCTGTATTGTAATTTGCATCTTTGAATTGGAGTTTTCAATGTATTGTAATGTGAGTGTGGTGATTTTTAATTTTTTTATTTTATTTTTGAAACTCTTTGATATCGGTTGATTGAACCTAGTGTCAATTCTGCGATTTCAAATCCATTTTAATACAACTATTTCAGATTTATAAATGATTGTTTATTGTTGCTTGTTTGACTCAATATGTATAATTTCTAACATGTGTAAACTTTGTTTACAATTTCTTTGTTGTCGGGTATTATTCAGAAAGTGATGTCTTGATGTAATTTTTATGTTTCCGTATCATGTGTTTCTATATAGTACATTGGTCATAATTATGATAAGTGAATTCATGAGAAAGAGTTGTGGTTATATATCCTACATAAGATGTTTTCTTATTATTTTTAGAGATACAATCTCTAATAAGACAAGAGAGTTACTTAGCAACATTGGTCTTAGATTTTTTTTAAAAATCATTTCAGCCCAAGCAAGGCAGTAATGCCACTAGTACGCAGGGGATTACAGTAAGTGAAAGTGAAAGAGAAGACTGAGAATAGGGAGGATTGAGGAAAGGAGAGAAGATTTACTTTTATTAATGACTTATTAAATGTTATTAGTCTATTAAGTATATACTAAAACGAAGAGCTACATAGTACCTGCGGTTTAATTTACGAAATGTCTAAATGACATTTTGTACAGATTTTTAAGCAAAATTTTAAATGATACTTGAATAATTTCACTAGAAATGAATCAAAGTTATCAAATAATGATAATGATATATTTTTCGGAGAGTTAATTGAACATTATCGAAATTTTACTTGCACTATTTTAATAATTACAACATACCCTTTGAGTAGACTTTTTGCGTTTATAATGGTTAACGATTTTGCTTAGCCCTACCGTCAATTTTTACATATATTTTCAACTCTTACCAAAAACACATCAAACATTTCCTTTTTTCTTTCTTTAAATTGACAGGAAATTTACGTTTTTGTTACAGCACATAACGAACATTCATCATACAAATTTAACTGTTTTTTTTCTCTGTAAATTAGGTAAAACCATTTTAAATGCTGAAACATACGCATGAAAATGATCAGCGGTTTCTATTTTGTTAATGTTATGTTCTGTCAAGTCATTATAGACGCCCTAATGACCCTTCAGACGAAGGAGCAAACATAATCTCTTATCTTGGTAACGACATGCACTTGCAAATTCGCTATTTTTAATTAACATTTGAATGCATTTAAACTGAATTTAATATACGCCTATTTTGTGTCTGTTGATTCGGCCTCTAAACTATTTGTTTTAACTCGACATGATGTTTAGTCAAGTATATTTAATGATTTGAAAACAATTACAGTTTATTAATTACGGAACAAGTGTTAGTATTCAAATAATTATCCGATTATAAATGTTCTTGTCTCTCCGTTAGTTCGCACGACCGTTACGCTCTGCCAATGTCTCATAAATAATGGACTATTCCGTTTTGACACGTGGAAAGCGGGGAAAAGACTCTACTTAGTTTCTGTAAGAAAATGAATGAAAAACAGAAAACAGGGAAGATACAAGAGTTTAACATCTGCCAATATCTAATAAATAATGGACTATTCCGGTTTTATGACGTGGAAAGTGAGCAAAAGACGCTACTTGAATGAATGAATGAATGAATAAAAGAAAGAAAGAAAGACAGACAGACAGACAGACAGAAGTGTTTAACGGCTGTTTTAGTAAAATGGAAAATGTTAATTTCAAATCTTTTCATTTGTACCCACTTCTTAAAACAACAACCAGAATTCATATTTATGATTATTATTACACAGTTTACTAAAGTTGTTAAGCTCAAATATTTAATGATGCGATAGGGGAATTTTTACGGATATGTTATGGTCGTAGAACTCGCCATAACCTTACTCAATCATTAACTTAAGAATTAATATTCATCAGAATATTAATATATGGAAAACGTGAAATTTTCACGGGTTAAAACCAGTAAATATAATTATATCGTGACTGCTTTATACTTAACTAAGGTCAATTGGTGTCTGTTCGAACGTATTTGAAATTGGAAAATACATATTTAAATTTAACCTACGAACAGAAAATATCTAGGGTTGTCAACGGTCCCGCAAAATGAGGAATTGTACTGGATGTTGATGCTCAAGGACATATCACGCATTAACTGATGCAGGAGAAATTTTTGTCCGACATCTTGAGAATCGATGTTTTTTTTTTATTGTTGAAACTTTTTTTTTCTTCTTCTTTTTAAAGATGTATTTAAAAAAACACAGACAATCGGAATACGTGCGAAATCTTATCTGTCTTACCGCTCAGTCAACCTTTCTCTATTTTAACGTCGTTTTTAATTTCATACTGGAATTCAGTGACCAATAAATAGCATTATTCTCATTATTGCTACTGGTTTTCTGGGCTTAGGGTTATATCACGTTGAAACATGGGTTCCCGTACGATCACTGCAGTTAAGCACTGTCGAACCTAGTTAGTATCTAGATGGGTGACTGCTTAAGAATAACAGGTGCTGTATGCTTGGATGTGCGTGTAGTGTAATGGATAATGGTTCAGAATTGTTAATGGGTGTACCCAGTTCCAATTTCAGTTGAGTTTGTTATATTTATTTACCCGCAAACAAACCCCGGGAAAGGCATGAATCCACCTCTTCTCCGCTCATTTGTATCACTAAATAATTATTATCTCCATGAAAAAATTCTTAGAATGTAAAAATATTTTCTGGCTTTAAATAACCTGCAAGTGGTTGATAAGCTGTAGAAAATGAATCAATCAATATATTGTATTTCTTAAAATACATTTTTCTTTCAATCGAACATTCTAATTGTTGAAACATGACTAATGCATGGAATAATAATGCAACACAAAATGTACTTAGAACAAAATGTATTGAAACACGAAAGTGTACACAATATTACATATAGTCTTTAGTATATTCCTGGTAAGACCGTTCCTGGAGAATGTGTTGACTGAGTCGCAGTCGGGCAGAGTCTCTGGTTGAATCTCTTGATTCCTGTATTTATCTATCCACCCACGAGGATAAAATGTGGCACAAGGCCGGTTTTAAAGTGGGTATCTCCGAGTCCGTAGGCTCGGCCAAAAATATGGCCTTTCTGAACCCGCCTAGACGGGGTTCAAGGCCTGTCTCCCACCCCGGACGAAACCCTGCCTCTCGGCAAAGCCTCGTCCGGGTCCTCACTGCAAAATGCAGAGAGTTCGACTGAGAGTGAATCTCTTGATTCCTCCCTCTCTTCCCGGTACCAACCATATTTATATGGTCGGTACTCCACTATGCAAATTAGGTGGATCCTACCACAACAGTAATTGAACTAATATATTTTTTTACTGAAAATAAGTACAAACGCAAAGGAAAAAATATGTATTTAAATAAAAATAAAAATATTTACAACAGAACTTGATATCTAAAATGTCTTCATTTTATGGTGATTTTCTAAGCGTAGTTTAAAGCTGAATGTATGGGTCACCTAGTGAGAATCAAACTCACTACTTAGTTGTAAGTGATCTAGGGAGACAAGCTTGCTAACTATTACATCACGTCGAAGTGCTCGCATTGTTTATTTTATGAGAGGATCTGATAAAAGCCGGCTTTCTCCTTAGTGAAAATCCAGGGTGTTATTTGTAATAATCAAGTTACATCAAGATGAAGCATTTTCAATTTAAATTAATTTTTGTCACTAGAACTTCTTTCATCACAATTTCAGTTGTGTTGCAATTTTCTGACCGTCATTGTAAGATTTTCAGTAAAAGCCGGATTAGAAATAAACCTTTTGAAATTAAAATGAACGAAATACTAGTGAAAAAATTAATAATAATGCTGTCGCATATTCGCTTAGTAACTGAAGATAGCCGTGACAGTTGATATAATTTCAGCTAAAAGTGGGAGGCAATGTATATCTAAAGGAGACTCCCAAGGATTCGCGTTTTCTTTGCTGTTTCCAGCTGGTAAATTGATGTTAACAGTAAGACAGTCAACATAAATTTTTGGGACATAATGAGAAAAGAAGGTTTGTAGATTGTAATACTCAAAGGACATATTAAAGGCAATGGAAGCCAAGGGAAACAGCAATAACCTACTTAATGGGTACAAGGAAATCATCGATGGTAAAGAGCAAAGATTACTTAACAGTACACGGGACAGGATTTTGTGAAGAGCCGTGATCACTCACGTTCATATAAAAGATACACATTCCTGTTAAACGTGACGGGATCTTATTTCCTGTCTGTGCTCATTCTTTTCTCGCTTGCTTCAGCCAACATCCTAAACAGACCTGTTGCCAAATGGTGACCTGAGGGACAACCCACCCCACCAAAAATCACTACCCCGCCCCGACCGAATATTGTCAACTAATTTTAGTGTGCAAATTCTTACGGTTCTACTTTACTTAAAGGTACCCCTCATCACTCAAAACACAGTAACAACGCGTCTTTATGTTAAATAGCTTTGTGTTGTAGTGAGCTTCTTTCTCATCTTTTACGTGACGTGTCCCATTAGGACGTTCGCGATCATGGCTCTTCACAATTTCCTCTCTATTATATACAGTTTTTATCTCTCCTAAACCATTTTTTTTCATCCATCCGCGATGATTTATCATTCTTTAATATAGTCAGATATGCTTAGATTAATTTCTAACGTATGTAGGTAGAAAAAAAAAACAAATATTAATAAGATAGTGAGGGTCCCATTCAAGCTTGCCCCCAGCCTCCTGGGTTGGTGGAGTTCGGAGGTAGGACGTACCGTCCCTGGTTGGAAGGTTTAAACGGTAATAGTTTAGGTTTAGAAGAACAGCTTAGTTAAGGAGAGGAGAAAAACACGATTAACGTATTTTTTATTTATTTTTGTTATATATTTTTAGCATTCTGCTACTGGAGCTCTCTTCTTGCAAAGGGGAGCAATATTTTTTTTAACTCGCAAGCTGTTGCTAATGTATGCGATCCCGATTGGATGATCTCTTATTGTGGCCTTGTGCCCGGTTAAATTAAACTTTGAATAAATATTAGCATGCTACACTTATAAACTATTACTAGTGAATTTCATCCATACTGGTGCTCTATTATTATAGCCTTGTGTCAGATTAGGCAATGTTTAGCAAACAACTACTCATACAATTATATATTGAGTTTTGTTTTGCTTAATTCCCCACCGCCCAATCAAATAGTAAAATATGCGTTTTTATTAATTTCAAAAACGTAAACTTTTTTCAGTAAATTAATTTTCCCCCTCTCTTCAACCGAAACAAATTCTTTCTAGAGGGAGAAAAATTATCTACGAAATACCCTATTGCATCTACATTAAGTGGCAAGTTGCAGTCGTGAGAATTATTTCTTGAAATGGTTCCAGTGCTTTTTAAATGGTGCACTTCGGACCGTTTCTCTATTTCTTGTTGATTTCTTTTTTCCCGACCCATTGCTTTTTTGGCATACAAACAATATCAGTTTCAAAAATAAATAAATATGAAGCAAGAACTAATCGCCTTTAAGATGAGAAATAAAATAAAATAGTCGAAATTTTATATAATGAGAATTTCCTTAAAGCACTGCGTGAATCAAAGAACACCTGTTGCAGATCTATGATTGGTGGGCGAATCTCGCAAGCCATTGCCATTAATTTCGCTTTCACCGAGGTATTCTGTGCATAAGGCATTGCTTTAGTGTTGGCTTAGTTCAGTCCTTATTTACTGTTGATATCACATAATAAATTGTAATAACAGCGCTTTAAAAAGAATCAGTCCGACAATAAACAAGTCTTTTTTAGGTTAAATATCTAGGATGTTTTAACAGTGGACTGAAATTGCGATACTGAAATCCGAAGGCGCATTTGAATAGCGAAAGATGCCTTCCAAAAGCTAAACAAAACATTAAGAAACAGGAAAATTTCGTGAGAAACAAAGAAAAGATTACTGAACTGTTACGTAATATGGTAGTAAATGCTAGACAATTTCCTTATAAATTAAGAGACTTGAAGCAACATTTCTAAAGAAGGATGCTGAGAATACTATGGACTAAACACAAAAAATGGAAAGAAAAAGGACACTTATACTTAATAACATAAAAACACAGGGCACATAATGAGAAACGAGGGCTTGGAAAATTTGATACTCACAGGACAGATTGAAGGCAAGGGGGTGGGGTGCAGGAAAATATCGCATAACCTGTCTAACGCGCTTCAGATGATTGGATTCTTCTTTTTTTTGTTCAAATCCGTCAATTTGTTTTGCTGGGGCTAAGTCTCGAAAACACACTATATAAATTCACTATTAATTTTACCTACAACGTTGAATTATTCAACTTTTTAACAAGAAAACTCTAGTTGATGTTTACCACAAAACATGGTTGATTTAAGATGGAATGATTTATTATGAAATGTCTCTAGTTTGTATTTATTTTCAATTTTTCTAGTTGAATTGTTCACCTAGATTTCATATCATCCATTATTGTACATAATTAGGTTACAATAAAATTTGTATTTTATATGAATATTACCTTATGATAATTAAGATGTAGTAGAGTGTTGGCGTATCATAGATTTGGGAGGGCCTTGTATCATAGATTCGAGGTGGGGGTACACGAGACCCTTACCCCGGCCATGCTTCCAACTAAAAGTTTAATCATGACAATAATATACTTTTTATATTTTTATTTTAACTTCCAATAAAATAAATGTTTCGTTTGTTTCACTTTGGTATTAATATGCCGGACTATTTTTCAGGAGGCGTTTTAATATAATATTTATCTGTTGTAATGTAAATCTTCACTTCCTACCAGATTTCCATGGGTACTTCATCTAGTAAATGATATTTGCTAAACTTAACCTACTCCGGTATAAGTTCACACGTCGTGAGGATGAAATTTCCTAAAGCCGCCAACGACTTACCTGTCAATCATTATTCCACACTAGGCATTTTTTTCAGTTTATAAGCAAAAGTTTCGGCTTAAGGGAAAGTTAAGATTAAAAAATGGCTCCTTCAAAGAAAAAAAAATCTGACAGAAAGATGACGTAGTAACATGGAAGCAACTGGTAACTTGGCAGAGGAACAGATTTATAAATCTATTCGAATTCCATGAACCATTTTGTAGTACTACAGTTGACCCATGGAAAGGTGTGCAGTAAATGGAATTAGTAAGCGGAAATTGTCAAATGTCGTCAGAAAACATGGCAAAATATCAAGGTGAATAAATACGGCAGTATAACAAGTCCAGGCAGCAACAGTTGAAATCTGGATAAAGGCGTTAGTTAGATCCAGTGACAGGACCTAAAGAGTGTGAGTTCAATACCTGGTTATGGTGGTGGAGAACTTGGAGAGGGGAATTAACAAGAGATAACTGATATGCATTAGACATGGCACGTGGAACTAGAACGGTCTACCCCAGCGAGCGAAATAAAGAGTTCAGTTCGACATTCCAACCACCTGAAGAAGTCTGGAGCGTACAACGGCTGAAACATTGTGAGAAATATGGCAACAAAGATGAGGACTATAGTCCGAACAATGTAAATAGTGTA